CGGTTTCTTTGTTCCATCGAGAACGGTTCGAAGCGATTTCATTACACGGCCAAGATTGAAAAGCTCTCTCGCCCCATTTGAAACAATGCATCATAACAGGTGCCTAGCACAGAAACGCGGAATGGAACCGAATCGGAAACGGCAGTAAAGAATGCCCGGTGTCCTTTGCATGAACGTGTGCCATAAGCCTGTCGGAACCTCTAACTTCCGCGCCACTTTTACAATACACCTTTGCATGCACCTGCATCGAACGTTGACGGCTACGCGATTAAACAATTTAATTAAAAAGTATGCGAAGAAGAAGTTGAGTTTGTTCGTTTTTGGAGCAATACTCATCTTAGGTTATCTACAGTTAAATTATCAAAGAAATCAATCGACGATTCGCCTGGGTAAGAGATTGTAAAGAACTTAAAACGTAAAAGACAATATACGAAATGTTGTTTGTTCGAATTAAAACTCTCGTTGATGTTAGATAAGTATGCATACATATTACGCGCTCGATCGAACCGTGCAACGAATATTAATTTCCCGTATCTATAAAAGGAAATTCAGCGGCGATCTCGTAAGCTCGTACACGGCTGTTATTAAACAGCTACGCTTCCTCGACATCATAAAAATCTTATCAAGAATTTTAATCGCATCACCGAAGCTCCAACCCCGCCCGTCTCCGATATCGCCTGGCAAAGGCAACAACATCGGAGAGCATTGTGGAACGTACACTTTCGCGTGTATACATTATGCAAATTGATTCTATCGATTGGACGGGTAGACCCTACCCGCGTACAGAGACTACTCGCGCGTTTCTGTAACACTGCTCTAGCTTCTGCTCTCCGTGACACAGCTATCTACTGACTTCCATTTACCAGCCAATCTCCAGAAAATAACATCGTCCTCGAGTACAAGCGAGAAGCATCGAATGGGTTGTTCTAGAAGCGACAAGTACCAACGCGAAGGGCATACAATTATATTCACGATGCATCCTGTTAGAGTTGAGCGCAACGACGTCGATTGGAAAATTGTTAAAATATCAAAAAGAAAGAGAACTACGTCTATACGAACAACACCTTGGTATCTAGCAAACACCATACAGATTTTATGAGATCACTATTTCAATTTTTCGAAAATATCGAGGCTGGCACAGCATCGACCCGAATGTTGACACCACAAACATTTTATCTGGTGGCCGTAGAAACCCAAATGTCACCCTTTGCGAAAGATATAAACGCGAGAAAGTAGACTAGGATCCAGCGGACCCCAGTGTGGCACTCTGGGGTTAGTACCTTTTATTCCACACCGTCCATTATTCCTAATTTCACCTTTCAACCATTTTTCCCTGGTTTCTTTTCCCGAGTATCATCAAAAACGTTGAGCATGCTTCCTCTATCCACCCGTGATGCCTCTAGTGGGATGGTCCTCTACTGCTTTCTCGTTTGTCTTGATTATCTTCTTCACTTTTTCTATTTCTTTCGGTGTCATTTTCTTACCTTTGAAACGAACATTTCCCTAGGGGCTAATCCACGAATCTGTAGCAACTAATACATCTTCTCTCAGTGTAATTAGAAAACCGTGTCGGTGGAAAAAGGTGAATGGTTCAAAGAGACTATATTTTTTCGCGAGGGGAACAAAACAGAAACATCTGATTTGAAGAAGAAAGTTCAACAACAAAAATATTCGTGAAAGTAACGTTGAGAAGAGCTACGGCTGCCGTAGACGGTACAGGATAATCGGTCCTTCGATTACTCCCACGAAATAACCTTTTAAGATAATTGCAACGATCGTTAATTGTCTGCGAACCCGAAGAAAATACCGTTGGCCTTATCGAACGGTTCGCAAATACGTGCACCCAATAACGAGATAGCAGAATCGGGCTGATTCTGAAAGGAGCGTTATCTGAACGACTGCGAACCGACCGTGCTGGATACCTCGATGGAAAGATTATCTCTGTATCCTATTTTATGGGCGTTAACGATAGTTAGTGCCACGAAACCGCGCACAAGAATAAGGGTAAGAAACGTTTTACAGTAATTGGAAGTGTAAGCAGCGTTCCTTAATAACGAAAATTCTTGCTCCTTAAGTACTCTCCTTTGCGGTCCTTTTTGAGATCAAAGACAAAGTGGAATTTATGGTCCATATCTAAGGAGAAAAGTTAAATCCAATTTCAAAGCATTCGTATTATTTTTATTTCTCTAGATGATAGCTAAGTCTTAATTACGTATCTAATCTTTAATCTTTCGTATCTTTCATTCAAATTTATATTCCTTCTATGTCGGTATTTAGTTGCACCAGCTTTAATATCGATTACTTGTGCCGTTTCGCGCTGTCTACAAGAGTATTCATTTCATCTTTTCCCATGAGCTCCATGTTTCCGTTGATTTATTTTTCTTTCTACCATCCCTTTTGATCTAACTTTGTAATTTTTAAAGACCCTCCCAACATTAGCGCACGTTAAACGTTCTATAGAATTAATATCAGGACCCCGGGGAGAAGTTTTTAATTTGTCAGGGTGCACTGTATAGCAGCGCGTCTTAAACTTTTTTCATTCGCAACCTCTTTTCATAAGACGAAATTATTAACGACTCCCAGCTGTATGGAATCTATAGATAATTTTATACATCAAGTATATTGATATATTAGAAATATTAAAAAAAAAAAAGGAAAATATATTTCCTTTTCAACATTATATGACAAAAGGTAAAGAATACACCCCTCGTTGGTAGCGAAACTTTCGACACGTATTTTCACCCTAATGTCTACGCGAGGAATTACGATACCTCCCCTTATTTCGAGTTACTAGGTATAGAAAGTTAGTATTACCGAGAGAGATTCAACGTTCGTCAAGATGGCGTCTCGTTCCACGCCATACGAAAAGAAACGTCGATGGCACAGTTCTCTTTCTTGCCTCCTCCGTACGATCTCCTCTGGAAAATTTAAATCATTAGGTATTAAAAAAAAAATCAAGGAAATATCAAACATAATAATGGAATATGTAATATAGCAATCTTCATTGGCGCACATTTGACACCATGTTATCCATTTGCAACAAATTCTTAAGAAAAGAAAGAGATTTCCTCGAGAAAACAGTTATTCGTAAAAATACTTGAATATAGTTGGAATTTTTTCTGTATTATTTGCTAATTTGAAACGCAGATTTAAAGGCGTCAAAATGGCGCCTATATTCTCCGAACTGTGAATCGTGACCGCATCGCATAGCAATGCAACAGGCGTCATTGCACATGCCTGTAACCATAATTCCGTGTTCTAGCGGCCTTCCATCTTTCCTTTAATAGTAACTGGTATATCACCAACAGCCCATACGCGGTTATCGATAACTCGGACACCGCATTACCGCGAAGCGTTTCTTTATTTTTATTTTTTTTTTATTCTTCAATCGTCTCACAATCGCTCAAAATAATTGTACCCCCTCGAGACGCTGAAATTCGCCAGCAAAGGAAATATAAAGATAAAGATAAGTGTAGAAATAAATCTAAAGAAATGCAAGCGTTCATTATCGGGTAAGCGCCGCGTTCGAAATTACACAGGATCGCCGGTTGATTTTTATCGCGCGTTTTATTTCAACGTGGAAAAACAAACGAAAAAACGGTCGAAGACGGTTTAACTGTTGCTCAAATGCACGGCACGGTGATAATGAGCGTACATTCTCGCGTGCAACCGACTATATGCAATTATCTGGTGGTAATGCGTGGTTGTCGTTAGTAAGATTAGCCGTTTTCTTCCGAGAGATTCCTTCAACTCCGTCGTCGAACGGCGAAATTATGTAACCGACGCGTACTATGCGTGTAAACCAGTTCACCTTCGAAAACAGAACAAAATTAAAAAATGTGCAACTGCTTCTCGAGCTTGCACGATACGAATCACTGTGGCATAAGTGAAGAAGATTTTCACTCTTTTATAGAGTGTTTCACGAAGGTTTAGGTGTGTGAAATATTAATCTATCGTAAAAGGAAGCCAACCAGTACCAATTTTAACGAAGTAAGTGACGAAAAAGAGGAGCTGCGAGCGTTTCCTCGCTCGCGCTGCCTAAATCGTTAAAGATATCTCTAAACTCTAGTGAAAAATAATGATTAATGTATTCATTTATACGAAAAAGACTCGTAAGCTACTCAATAGCGTCTGCAAATGCTTCTAATGAACTGTAATTTAATTATTATAAATAAAAAGGCATTCAAAAATGATCCAAAGTGTCGCCATCTCGCGGTGAACGAGCCGAACTAATTTTAAGAGTGTGGTCAGCGCCTCTATCGGGAGAACGCTCAAGTTTGTCCTCAATAGTTACTTTTTTCACTGCTAGGTGGCGCTTTGGCGTAATGTACCGATAGTTGTCGGTAAGAGCCAGTATAAATGGTGCCATCTAGTAGTGAAAAAGAGAACTATTGAGAACAAACTTGGGCGTTTTCTCGATAGAGGCGCTGCTCTAAATCCAAAAAATAGTTCGCTACTTTTACCACTAGACGTCTATTCATTTGATCGAAAATACCGGGAACCTACGAAAAAAACTATTACAATTCAAAAGTTTTAAAAGACTAATTCAATGTAAAGAAACAAATTGAGAGGGTAAGCAAAAAATGGGTTCTGGGAGTATTTATACAGCCATACGAATTGCAAAACTTTATTGAATGATATATAAAATAATCACAGTGCAAAGACACAAAGGGAACATGGATTGTTTCTTTTAGTATTGTAGAGATCGTTTTGTTTGTATGTCGTCCAATATCGTTCGCAGTTCTTCGTCTTCTAAACGTCCTTCGAGACTGGGAATCAACGCCTTCGCTTCTTCCGGTGTCTCAGGACAAAGGTTCGCGAGTGACGCTAGTTCAAATTTGTGAAGCTTTTTCTGCATGAGCAAACTACAACGAACAAATGATATAGTTAACTATTAAAAGTACCTTATATTAATAATACCTTATGCAATGAAGTTCTCACACTTAAATACGAAGCTTACTTTCTAACTGCCGCAATGGTCTCTTTGTTTTTAAATTGACGGAATCGATTTGTGTACGTCAAACTCTTCATGAAAACTTCAGAGAATTCTTGTTCCTCTTCCGCGGACTCATTTTGCGCTTTTCTATGCTCCAATAACATAGATACCTCAGAGATTAACAAGGTCTCTGCATTTTCAAATTCTAAAGAAAAAAAAGACGAAACTAACATCGATTCTTTACAGAACATTTCGGTGTCGTTTGAAGATCGTTATAAGGTCGTTTTTGGTTCAGCATCTATGTTTAAAAATGTTTAAAACTTATTTTATTTGTATGGTTTATTACAAAATACATGTTATAATATCATTAAAAATTATACAAAGCGTAAATAACATCTTACACGTACTTCCTGTATTAAAATGCGCGTTATTATATTAATCTATCGTTTGCAAGCTATTATATATACTCACTTTATTTTCAGTCGATTTTCTCAATTCTCAAACCTGCTTAAGAATTTTAGAAATAAGTCTTAATACGTAATATCACAATTCCGGCAGTACTTATAAAATACAAAGATTTTATACAAATGTCAACTGTTATATTATCGATGTATACGTCATTGATTTGGTTTATTTATATATCCTTTTTCTGTGAGGAAATCATATATTTTACGCGTTTTATTAACGTCAATTTTTAGCAAAACCCTGGCTTGCGCCAACCTTAGATAACCATTCTTTTTATTCTCCCCTATCAGAAGTTGCTTAAAATCGAGGTAATTAGCAGGTACTATGCGCGTAACCGAACAAAGTTCTTTTTCAGCCGAGGTAAGTTTCTCGTACCCCGGGAGACCTTTAATAATAAGGGGCGGAGCCGTTTTTCGTTGCGAGATTGTAGTTGACACGGAAGTATTAGCATTAATATTGCAACCAGGCAATATAGACTTCCAACTGTATTCGGGATTATTCAAGTATTGCTTTCTTTCCCTCTCATTCTCTTGTCTAAGTTTACTCAACTTTTGAAACATTACAACACTGTGAAAGTGCTTTAAACCATTACTGCGAAACTCGAACAATTTATTCAAATAATTTTTAAGTTCCCCGGTACGATGTAATCCTTCCATAAAATAGTCAAACTCTATACCTCCCAACAATTGCATGAAAATTAATAATCTCTCGGCAAGTGTCCTGGTTATCGTAAATTCGTATCTTTGGATCCACGATATAGTTCTTCTAAAAGCTATTAGACCATGGTCGCGTATGATTTTTCTTCTTCTCATGCGTTCTTTTAATCGATTGTTATACGCTTGCACTATAGCTATTTGCAATGATCTCCCTAGCCGATAATTATCATCGCTTGAATCAAACTCGTCGTAATTCAAATCAGAAATTAACAATTCCGCGTGGTTATCGAAATTTATTTCGAAGTCTGATCTCGCCGGATTATATCCGGCCAAAAGCTTACAATTAAGTGTATTGGGCGCGAACCGCGGTGGTTCTTCCAAATCTTGTAATTTATATAAATAAGGTGCAGACTCGCAACCGAACAAACTCGCTTTCGTTTCTTTGATTATCGGCAATCCGGGGAAAGCTTGGTTATCGATATAATTCTGAAGATAATGATTTTTACATTCCTCCGCCGACTTCCCTTGCATTCTTTTCGACATATCTACCCAATTACCAAAACCACATTCCTGTAAGACATCTAGAAATTCTAATTCTTGCTTTGCCGTCCAACCACTTCCGTGAATCAAAGGGAATTCGTTCTTTATTATAATATAGTCGTGATCGTTTCTGTGATCATCGATTTCGGATCCAGTGGAGAAACAAGAGGGACACAATTCTGTGTTATTACACACGGCGCAACGAATGTATGGCTCCGTCAAAATAGATTTGCATACACGGCATGATGGGTCTGAAGTAATGATTTCATCCTTCACGACTGTCACGTCGAGATCTACATCGTTCTCGATTGTTTCTGTTCTACTCGATGAGCAGTCTGAAAGAGGAACATCAGTACCTTAGGCCATGCCGCACAATCAGATATTGGTAAATTTGGAGTATGACCAGTATCGAGTTATTTGATTTCCAAATAAATTCTTATTCATTTTTCAAGTTTCACGTAGAACGTTCGAAATTGATAACAAAACCAAAATGGAACTGTAACAAGTCAAATCACAAATAAACCACTATTTTCCAGTCTGGATCTTCGTTTTCTTTATCCTTTACAAATTCTAGCTTTTTTCGATGCCGGACATAATAGCCAAATTTTCCTACAATATAAATCTTACTTGACGTATTCTATTCATCGTCAAACGTGAAACGTTACCGAGGGAACTGACAAGCGTCACAAATTTGAGGTTAGAAACAGTCAAATAATTGCTACCTATCTCTTGGCCTTATCGATAAAACTTACCTTTTGGAAACTGTAGGTCAGCCGCATCTTCCTCTGTCATATCCGTCAAATTTGGATTGGCCATGGTGCTTTATATATTCTTAAAGTATTTCACGAAAAACTCGTAAACATTTACTATTAACAAACGAACATGCTGGCTGCAGCTTCCTGTAACTGGTGTACCTCAGGAAAGCTACACAAGATGGCACATGCATTGAGCGTTTTACCACCGATGGCGCCACTAAATATAGCCTTTCTGGAGTTTGTCAATAATTAGATTCGTGAAAGTATGTCTTTTTTATTGTGCAAACTATAACAAATTGTAACCATGCTTCCTCTCTCATACAAAATATAAGAATGAATCGACAAGTAAGTTTTAAAGTTCAAGATATCTAAATTTATCTATTTAAAAAAATGATCTTTCCCGCTCTTTTCAAAGCGCAAAAACCTTTAGCGGGAGTCTCTATTCGAAAAATACTAATAGTGATCTAAAATATAAAAATAACGATTGATATTACATAAAAGAACACAGATAAACACAATAAAGAGTTAAATTATAGATATCACTAAATCCTCGTTGTGAGAAGTGTAAAATATTTCAAAGGCGGTTGTCAAATCGATGTCAATTCGATTAATCGATTATTCGATAATTTTGTGCGCAAGTGCGCGGGAACGAACGGCGCCATATTGAACCACTTCGAGTCGGCGCACGCTGTTGGACAAAGCTTGAAAATTTGTGAATATTCTTTGCGAATAGTTAATAAATATCTTACTGAAGTGCATAAAGTGTTTACCTGTATAATACAATGTAACTGTTTTGCAACTGTGCCTTCTTTCTAGGTAATTATTTACTCTAGAATCAGTATTCTGTTTACGTGGAAGGCGTGCACATATCGTTAGCTAGCATTCCTGTATGATATTAATACCTAACAATGAGCTTCTAAGCTCGTGTTAGACAGCATTGTCTTCCGGCATGTATGAGGTATTCTGTGCTCACGGCTGTCTCAAGTCAGGAGCATATGCTTTATAATTTAACGGATTGTTACAGTACAAAAAGAGATTAATTTTTTCGTTAACAATATAGTTTCCCTACCATCAGTAAATGTCGTAGTATTCTATCAATATAAAAGAACTGCGTAGTTCAGGAACCTTCTACAGATAGCGTTGTATGTCCGAAAACATTTTTGATACATGTGCATTGAACATAACCTTAAATATTTTTCATGTGAAATTCGTAATCGTGTTAATGTACACGAAAAGAAAATATTTATTTTTGTATTCATGTAATTGATTGGTTTGAAGAATCATTTATATAAACTTTGGTAAATTTAATAGTTATGTCTTGTAACAAGTACCTCTTCCATTTGATATTTTCTTGTAAATTTAACGTTAAAAGTGTGCCTCTATTGTGTATTCGAAACTTGTCACTTGTGAGTGATATACTTCATAAACTAAAATTAGGAAAGAAAAAAGTAATTATTTCGGATGAATTGAAAGTGGAAATACAATCGAAACAAAAAACATCAAAACGTAGGAAAAATGTTAGTTGCGAAGTAAGTGACAAAGTTACTAAGAAAAAAAGCAAGATACCAGACAGAATTATCGCAGATTATCGGCTATTTGGAAGAGTACTACAAAAAAAGAAAGGAAAATACACGCAATTGATACCAGAACAGGCTGAAGGTAAAGCAAAATCTGCAGATGCACGTAAAGTCCTTGATTCAGAAGATTTGTGGATAATGAAGGTATCAAATCCAAATCATATAAAATATATAAGTCATAAGACTACAAAAAATGTGAAGAATGAAATATCTAACGATAATAAAAGTCGTCCAGATACCAAAATAAATACAATTATTAATACTGAGAATATAGAAATACAAAATACTAAAAAGTGCACATTAGAGACTGTGTCTGACTTTACATCTGATGGTTGTACAGCAATCTTACAGAAAGCAGTAGAAAGGATAACTTCGTATCCCATCCGTGATGTAGACACATCCATTGATTGCTTTATAGAATATAAAGAAAGCAAAGGAGGTACACATATTCCAAGTGTAACACATATTCTTCGCGAAACCATGTCTGCACAATCAAAAAGGGCTTTAGAGATATGGAAAGAAAACATGATTAAAAAATTAGGCCAGAAACAATTTGACATATTTTGTAAAGGTGTTGTATGTTTTCAAGATACAATCAGTTATTTCAGTCAGCTTATTTATTCACCTCTGTTTGTTCCTCTTTAGAACTATTAGCGAATGGTAAGTTATTCCATACCTGCGTGGAAAACACTTTATTACAAAAAGAGATTGAAATTCCTTTACAAGTCGAGCCAACCTATAATAGTGTGAAATCTGTTTTGAACGATGTACAGACTGTTAAAAATCTCGAAGCTTACGTGACGCATCCTAATTTGCGATACAAAGGTGTCGTGGACTGCATTGCTTGTTATAGGTAAAACAGAAATTGATTTTCTCATCGTAAGGAAAATCCGTTGTACCATACATCTTAGGTTTTAGTTTTCGTCAACATTTAGTTTTTTATTGTTCGAAATAACTAGGGACAAAGTATGCGTAATCGATTGGAAACAATCAGAGAAACGGAAGTCTACTCTTGCGTTGACTTACGACGCACCTGTGCAATTAGCTGCCTACGCCGGCGCTGTGAACGCTTCCGATAACTATCCATTTATGGTAATTATCACGTCAAAATTTACCCCCCTCGTTGATTCCAATAATTCAGGAATTCGGTAATCCGTTAATCAGAAGTAAATAGTGCAGCAATAAACGACATTGTAAATGGGTTTACAGATCGATATGGGGGTGATTGTGGTTGCATACACAAATGGCGATCCTGCAACTGTACACGTATTGGAAAATGACGTGTTAGAAAAGTCGTGGAAGGATTGGTTGAAAAGATTGCAACAGTATTATACTCATCTGATCAAAAAGGACTGATCTGGAAGCTCAGTTTTCGTTTAAGTTAGCTGTAAAAGTTAAATATTATATAATGTACATCGTAAGCATATTCTTGTACATGTACTGAAAAAGAATCGTTTAAATACACTTTTTTTACCTAACTGTGATATCCAAGTTACGAGTCAGAGAAAAAGTTGGCATTTCATGCGGAAAAACACGGTTGTCTGCCCTCCTATCCTCTTGGTTAACATATAGCAATTATAACTTTGAGCTGGCAGCCCTTCGTGGGACGCAGCGTTACCCACCTCTCCGTTACAGGGCCTTATAAACGTCGTACTCAACCCTTCGCACACCCCTGGGAACGGTAAACTAATGGTGAAGCTATGTAGCGGAAACATATCTTTCGTTGTGTTTCCCTGTATTTGAATTTCTGAATAATTCTTCAGTATTCAGTATTCAGTAACACATGGCGAACGTTAACACCAAGAGTTACGAATGAGTTTAAAACTAACGCTTTCAATAAAAATTCCACATTTATCGTAACAAGTTTTAAGAAAGATGTGGCAAAGTACGATAAAACATCATACAACGACGTGATGCGTTAAAAAATGTCTGCGGTCTTTCCATTGTTTATATTTTATACCTGGAAGAGTGTCTTTGGTATCCTGAAGAAAGATGATCATATTTCCGGATTAGACGTTTAGCGAGCATGGGAGCGCGAGAGAGACGATTCTAAATCTTTCAGCTAATCCCCGCTAATCCTCTCGTAACAGGGACATATTTCCATTGCTCGACCAACCCCTAGCACGAGCCACCCTCTTTGAGCGGGATGAGTTATGAAAACGATAACTTTTACAAAGAGCAACCCTCGCGGATGTGTCTGTCGAGAAACCAGTGAACCATGGCCTAGAGATTAACGAATTTATACGAAATCTTCGACGAAATGAACATTTTTTGTTATTTGCCGATGGTAGTAAAATATAGAAGAAAATATTGTGCTGGTGGTTGTCGTGTTGCTTTCATTTTTAAGTAAATTTAGTACCCTTTAAATTAACCTACCCCTATTTATTGAATATTTCTCTACGCAAGGTTCTTAACAGTTAACTAATTTCGTAACGCTACGAACTAATTCTGTTCCACTATGCGAGGCTCGGGAGGATCAACGTGGCGAATATCGATTCCGTCCCGTCAGCTGGGGGTTAATTACGTCACTCGTAAGAAGTGAAAGTCTCTTGAGAAATTATGGAATTTTCTCACTCGAATCGGAGCGTTCCACGAGCAAGAGCAGTTTCACGGCTAAATTACCCGGAAGCGGTCAGCTGGGATAATCAAATCATAGTCACGCGATACGTTTCTATTCATTCCCTGTTTTCCGGGGCGATCGTAATAAATCCCGGTCGAACGTCTCCCAAGTAGTGGAGGACTCAAGACTGTATCGAATCTGTGATGTACATGTGATGTACGATACAATCAACAGTAAATTAACGTTATAAAAGACAGTGTTATTTAAAATAAATTTATACAACGTGACAATAAGATTGATAAGACTTGTCAGGAAGACCGTCTGGATTTCAAGTCGTTGAAGTGGTTTGAATCTTCCCAATCTGGAAATCCTTGAGTCTCTTAAGGAGATAAATAAGTAGAACGAGCTTCGGGATCTTTAAGACTGATCAAGAACCTTCGCGATCGATCAAGGACACTCAATATTATCTTTACTCCAATAGTCTCCGAAGCGATTCGAATCTCCCCAGTCTGGAACGTCTCGAATCTATCGCAAGATCTGGATTCGAACGACGACCGCTACACCCTGGCGAACCTGTTTTCCCGATTACGTCGACGGACGGGACGAAGAGTAGGGCGCCACATTTATCGTCGCCGGGCACGACTCGCGTTCTTAACGGAGAAGCCGACGGGGTCGGCCCCATTAATACCCAGTTGAGTGTGAAGCGGAACTTTTCTCTTTCCTGGCTAGTAATAACGCCGCGGTCCGCGGTATAAGCGGCTCCGTGAAAGGGCCAGTTTTCCCCAACGACGACGGTCTCCCTGACCGCTGAGAAGAAGCCTCCGTCGTGCTGGAAACTGGAGCGCCTCTGGAATTAAGAAGTTTTCATCGTGGCCTTTCAATGCTCTTCCTCGAATCTTCCGTCCGAGCATTTAGAGGGAAACGACGCCTTGACGCGGCCACTCGGGCCAGTCTCGACGTTGAAAACTTTATAAATACTGACGGAGCTCGTCTTGGAGGGCATTCTTAACCCTCTGTTGCTTGGAA